GACTGACAGTCAAGAGGGCAAGCTGAAAGTGCACCTTAACAGTTAGCAAACGTGGATTTGGGGGAATTAATTTCTGTTTGTTGGGGTTCTTTTGTTAAACTATGATTTTAATATATATCTTGAAGTACTGCTAGAGAGTTTTGTCTCCTGTATTCCCAACTAGTAGAGGCTTACAAAAGTCAAAGTTGACTTTAGTGACTTTGCTTCATGTTCAGTCTGCAGCATTTTATCTTTACTGAACTTCTTTCCTAGAGGGATGTATCTTGTGTGTGTGTGTTAGTCCAGGGTAAAAGGCACCCATTTTGAAATTTATTTTTAGCAGTGAAGAAAACACATGGGGAACCCACTGTGTGCCCTCACAATTATGCAGCTGGGACACATATGCTTTGTCTGTGTGGGATTATTTTCTGCTTGGTAACTGAAGAAACCAAAGGGTACACAGATACTGCCTTTAAATGTTCATATCTCTGATGTTAACATTTGTTTAAAAAAGGTTAATTGCAGACAATTATGTGCTAAAGGAGCTATATCACAAGAAAAGTCAATAGTACTAGGAAACTGTAACTTTGAATTAAGGATAGAACTGAGCAGTTATGCCAGAGCATTTTATTTAAAGAGGCAGCACATTTTTCTTATTATGTACTGATGAAGTGCGATGGCTTTACCTGAGTTTTTGTTTGGTTTTTTTTGTTTTCTTTTTCATAACTGTGTAAAAAGGCATATTTAACACTTCACACTGCATTCTAAAAGTGAGTGAGTAAAGAAGCAAGTATTCTGATGTTTTAAATTTAATACACTGTTCATCAGTGTTGAATATTGAAAAATAATACTGCTTCTTGAATTAAGCTGTGTCTATTAGATGGATCACTTAAAGGCAAAAGGCACAGTTTTGCTTACTTAGCATGAGAGCCTCAAGAGTTTAAATAGCTTCTATTTATTTTTCTAATCTATGTCTATGATAAGAATCCATTACTGCTTTATGGTACTGGTGACTACAAATTTATTGGTGTATCTTGAAACTATGTCAAACTTGCAGGAATCTGTCCTTTTCTCCCCCCTACTTTCCAGCCCAGCATCCTGGGAGTTCATAAAACTGTTCAGTTAACATTCAGCCTTTATCCAATTTGTATAAATCCTCTAGCTGGGATCTGTCTCAAAACTGCTGAGAAATAGTGCTGTTTTCTCTTTGTAAGCTAGCTAAACCATTAAAGGTTTCATATTGAAATTATGTGGTTTTTTTTTTTTAAAAAGTTACATAGAAGAAAGTTAAGTAGTCTGCTATGGAAGTGCCTTTGGGTCCTTATCTGAAAGTAACCCTGGCCCTCCTGACTCCCTACTCTTTCAGACGGTTGCAGTATGATTCTAAAATACCCTCATGAGGAAAAAAAAGAAAAAAAAAAAGGAAATTCCAAACAGCAACAAAAAGCAACAGCTTAAATCCAGACAAAATAAACCACTTGACACCCCAAAAAAAGGAAAGAGAATGAGAAGAGAAAGAAAAACTCCAGTTGACCCAAAGCCTCTGAAAATTTTTTGTTGCCCAGTACCTGGTGTTATGCTGCTTGACAACTCTAGAGAAGACTTGGTAGACTAGGCTGATCTTACATGAGTTTTATACTTTCAGTTCCATTAAGATTAAGGAGTTGGCTCACTCCTGATAAATGCCAATATAAAGCAGCAGAGAATCAAGCCAACTGAGCTGGTCATGACCTTATATGAATAATGATAATTAATAGCTAGTGACACTGGCAAAGCATGGCTCTGAAATGCAGTAGACTACATCATCTAGACTGTTTATAAATTAAAATTTTAAATCTCACTTTAAACAGGAATTAAAGACATCTTTTGCCATCATGGGCAAAAAAGTTAGTCCTTCACTAAAGGATGTGTGCCATATGTGTCACTGAAATATGTCATCTTCAATACAGTTACGCAACAGAGTAAGAATTATTCATGAATTTGAGGTCAGAGGGTAAGAAAACATGGGTTAGACTAATATAATACCAGTTTTTAATTTGTACTTTAAATAAGGGCAGCTGTTTTAAATTTCATAGAGAGGCCTTTCTTATTCTTGTTACTTTTTTCCTGAGATAATTTGTTCCACTCACATACTTGTAAGTTTGATGTGTGAATCTCCCAAGCCTGTTCTCCTGCACTAGTCTGTACTCGGGAGTAAATACAAAACTATATGAAAACAAAGAAGTGAAAAAACAATTATTACAAAATATACATGAGTTACTTTAGTAGGATTTTTATTTTTCTGTATACCTCTCTCAACTATTTCCCCTTTTCTATATCAGCTAGTGCTAATCTTCTGTGAGTCAGTCAAGGACATCCCTTCACACAATAACTCTTCTTCACTTGTGTTAATTGGAGAAGAGCCTTGACTCAGTTCTACTCACCTGGATCAGGCAATTTGTTCCACAAGTCCTCAAGAAGGACTATCTCAAATGCAGTTTTGACTCTATACTGAGTGTTTCCTTGCTTTTTGTTTGTTTTCATAGTCAGTGAGCTACAAAGAGCAGCCTTCCTCCATCTGAAGATAAAGTGGATTTACTCATTTTTTTAATTCATCAAGCACGACTTTCTGAACTTTCCTCGTTTCTGGTGTTTTTAAAAGGGAAGGAGAAGAGAAGAAAGAATTCTTCTCTTCGTCATCATTAACGTGAGGCCGAGATTTTTTTTTGAAATTTTGAAGTTTCCAGCCACAATTCCTTATTCTCTTTAGTCATTTCTGGTTCTGTGGTTGCTCCAAGGGTACAATTTAGAGAGAGTGTTTTGAAAATGGACCTAGTGCTTCCTGACAGAGGAGACATGTTCAGGCAATGCAGCCAGGAGCTCTGGCAGAGCCTAGGGAAAGTACAACTGAAATTCTTGTTCTTCTGCCTGTAGAAATTTAAACACAACTTCAGCTAGATTTTTTTTGTGGAAATTATTTACTTTGGAAGAGAAAAAGAGCAGTGCAGAAGTATTTGATTCTGAGAAGATATATTTTTTTAGTAATTCTGCTCCCGCTTATACCTCTTGAAGCACTCAGGAGAAGGGGTTGATTATTTAAAAGCATCACAATCTAGAGCTGCTGTAGAGGGAAAAAAAGAGTAAAAAAGACACTTTTGGAGTTATGTATGGCATTTCAGTAAGAGAAACAGCTTTTTCATCAGTGGATGTGTATGTCATACTGAGTTGGCTTTCCATGCCAACTGTGTGCTGTTCCTACTGCCCAGCCTGCTGGAACATCTCCAGAGCTTGCATTCACTGAAATGCCTAGAGTGAGTTTACTTTTAATGGCCCTGCTTCAATCAGGAAGAAATAACTAGAACATAACAAATTGAAAGAGAGTATCTGCAAATTTTTAGGCTAATTGTATTGAGTAAATATGTCATTAGGAAACTCTTGGAAAGGTAAAAAGGCAGCAATTAAAAATTTAAATTTTGAAAATGTGGTATTTTTTTGTACATTAAAAAAGTCAATCCTACAATGAAGGAGCAAACCTAATTTTCTAGTTAGCTTTTACTGGTTTTGAACTGTACTATCTGGGGCATATGAAACAGAGCACTGAAGCATTTGCATTTCTCCTACTTGATTTCTGTGTCCTCAGAAAAACCCATTGCAGAAGGGACCGCCCTTCCCACCACTGCAAGTGTGGGAACATCACTTCTGAAGGGATTAATTTTAGAACATATCCTTTTATAAGAGCCTTAGTAAGGGTAGAAAGCAGTGAATTTGGAATGCCGTAGTTGCAAGACCTAACTCACAGCAACTGTTCTTACCAGCTTTAGCTGAAGCAGCTTTCAGTTTTCAAAGAAAACAGTGGCCAGTGACCATGCGTCTCCTTTGAAATCTTTGCCAGAACATGAGATTTTTTGTAGGTTTTACTGATGAGGAGAGTTTATAGACCCTTCAGCATTCTTCTAAAATCATGAGGCAGAAAAATATGCCCCAGTATACTTTGCTCAATTCATCTAAATTTAGTTTTAGCTGGAAACTAATTTACTGATGAACTCTTATATACCTCATAAAGCATGGTAGCCTTGAAATTAACCAAAATCACAGCTTTAATTTCAAAACTCAGTTCAGCCTTATTTGTTGAAACATTAGCAACACTCTCACCTGTCTTCTTAGCTGCTGCTTAAAACTAAAGGAGTTATGCAAGATGGAAAGCTGTGTTTCTGTGCTGGGGTTTTTGATTTTTTGCTTGGTTTGTTTGGGGGGTTTTGTTTGTTGTTTTTTCAAATAATATTCTCAAACTGCTCTTTCTATTGCATAGCTGAAGTTTCATTATGAACTTGATAAGAATTTGTACAATAAATATTTTAAAGCATATCTGCAATTTGAAAACTACAAGAAGTAACTTGAGATAAATATCACAAAATTATTTCCATGTGCTTCGCAGCAATATTACTGTATGAATGATGGTTTGGAGTTGAAATGGAGGTCATACAGATTTTGTACAACAAAGATATGAGTCAAAAATCACTGAGCATTTGGCTTCTTATATTTTGGGACTATTTTTAATAATCAAGAAGAGTAGAAATGAGATGACATCACTAACAACTAAAATACAAATCCTTGAAACATTTATGGCATACCAGCTGTCGAAGCATCATCATCATAATCTTCTGACAAATTATATTCTCTGAGGCTTGATGGGTAGCACTCTGGTATGATATGTCAAATACTTTGCTAACTGAATGATACATCTGAAAAATATTTGAAAGTTGTCTTTCTAGAACCAGGCAGTTACAAGTCTTGCCTTACTGACCTAGAGAGGTATAAGCAAAGTGTAGCTCCCTCAGCAAAGAAGGGACAATAGATTTACTAGTTTTATGTTTTGTCTTACCTTATTCTGTATCACCTCATATCACCTCTTGTTTTAACATGCTTTTAAGGAACTCCTAAGAGATTAATGCTTGTACCCCTTAGTACTCTTGAGAAAATAAATATTAAATGTAACAAGAAGGATTAATTTTTCATTTCACTGCTCATTGCTTTCCTTTCAGCTTCTTGCCTGACTACATCAGTGGTGATTTTGATTCCATTCAGCCTGAAGTCAAGGAGTACTACAAGGTCAAGGTAAATTAAATCTCTCTGATGAATTTTTGTGTGATAGAGCATTGTAAGATCCAACCCATTAGTGCCCCCGTTGATCATTAAGTGATTCTGGCTCTTTAAGGCTGCAGTTGTGAAGCACCTTACAAGCCCAGAGGTTGAGCTTCGTGTGGCACTGTACTAATGCTTAAAGTAAACACAGGAGGTGCAGTACTGCCTGTGTAGGGTGACTTTTCATAGCACGAGGTGAAGAAATAGATTGTATGTTGCTAGAGATTACAGTAATGAGAAATTAGGATAAAACTTCCTGAAAAATCTGTGACTTCTTTTCATGGTGAAATATGGAGAAATAAAATCTGTTGTGACTTCCACCTGGGTGGCAGCCACAGATATTCTAGAGGGAGTTTCTCTGAGTGTTATTTGTATGATATGACCTTACCTTTTTCAAAGAAAGCTGCAGATGGAGTCGTCTGTCTCTTTCCTCACCCACTGAGGCATTGAATTACACCTGACTACTTCTGCCTCAGCAGTGCAGTGCCCTCCTTAATGTGTTATTGGATAAATTCCTGTATATGTTAATTTATTTCCAGTGTAGCCACTGTGTTTCCAGTGAGCAACATAAATGTAAACTCATTTTGCTTATGTGTTAGGGCTCAAAGTTCTGCCTTTAGATGACTGTGTGGTATTTAACACTTCACCTGCCTACCTCTCTAGACTTTTGTGATGAATGCAGTACTTTACCATGACATCATGGACAGCAGGTTTCTGCAAATTCAGAGTTTGTCTTGGTGTACCAGCTTATCTTTGCAGCAGGCTGCACTTGCAAGAGGAGTGTTTGATCCTTGTGAGCTAGTTGATTTAGTCTGCTGCTAATTGAATGTGTGAGAATGAAATTTGCCTAAAATCTTCCTTGATGGACTTGGGATCAAATGGTTAGAAAAAAGGGTTCAGACTGTGAAGGGAAGTCTGGAAGAGTGTATAGAGCTGGATAGGTTTTCATCCCTCTTTGAACACTGTAGAGTTTTATTTCCATGTTCTATCCCATTTTTTAGAAGGGAGAAGTGTGTGATGGCAGTTCATATTAGGAGAATAGCTCAAGAAAAATGCTTGTGAATCTTTAAATTACAGCTTGGGAAGAGAAAATAAAAAGTTTGGGGTTAATGCTATTTATTACAGACTGGAAATTCATGATCTGTTGGTAAATAGGGAAACCACAAAAACCACTGCTCTGTTTGGCATAGTCACAGGCAACCAATGGTATCAATACAGGCTGGGGAATGAACAGATCGAGAGCAGTCTTGCTGAGAAGGACTTGGGGGTGCTGGTGGACAGGAAGCTGGACATGAGCTGGCAATGCAGCCCAGAAAGTCAGCGGTGTCCTGGGCTGCATCAAAAGCAGCATGGTCAGCAGGTCAAGAGAGGTGATTCTGCCCCTCTACTCCGCTCTGGTGAGAGCCCACCTGGAGTGCTGTGTCCAGCTCTGGGGTCCTCAGCACTGGAAGGACATGGACCTGTTGGAGCGAATCCAGAGCAGAGTCACCAAGATGATTAGAGGGGTGGAACCCCTCTCCTATGAGGAAAAGCTGAGAGAATTGTTCAGCCTGGAAAAGAGAAGGCCTCAGGCTGACCTAATTGTGGCCTTCGAGTACCTGAAGGGAGCCTATGAAAAAGCTGGAAAGTGACTTTTTACAAGAGCATGTAGTGACAGGACAAGGGAGAATGGCTTCTAAGTAAAAGAGAGTAGATTTAGATTGGATATGAGGAAGAAATTCTTTACTGCGATGGTGGTGAGGTACTGGAACAGGCTGCCCAGAGAAGTTGTGGATGTCCCATCCCTGCAAATGTTCAAGGCCAGGCTGGATGGAGCTCTAAACAACCTACTCTAGTGAAAGGTGTCTCTGCCGATGGCAGAGGGATTGGAACTAGATGCTCTCTAAGGTCCTTTCCAACCCAAACCATTCTATGATTCTATGGTTAATGCTTAAATAAACAGCAAGGTGGTAGGTAGGTAAGTCCTACCAAAGAATGCAAGTTAAGAATCATTCAACAGAGAGAGAGAGAGGAGATGGGAGAGGTATGAGGTGGAAGAATACAGTAGGATACGGAAAGGGATAAGCTAAGATAAATGGGTATTACACTTTTTCAGAGGGATTACTTTTCTGGCCATAGCATCCCTTTTGTCAGCTCTGTTGCATCTTACTGTTGATATGCAGGTTACATCTTCTCTATGAACACATAGTGAACTATTCTGCTTCATACAGAGTTAATACATCTGTGCAAGTGCTGAGCGGATAGCCTGTAAAGAAAGCAGTAATTCATCAGGATTGTCAAGGTGTAATGAACAGAATAACCTAATCTACAAAATCCTTGCCTGGGGTCCTCATACAAGACTGAGGAAAATGCAGTTAGAGTTTAGAATTTTAATGTTGGGTGTACATGGAAAGAAAAATAATTTCTTTGCATTTTTAAAATAATTTCCCATAGTCAGAAAATTAGAATGGTAAATACAGATGAGTGTCTAAGGATATCATGTGCAAAAAATAAAATAAACCACAGAATTTAGACAGAGCTGTATGTTTCTTCTCTTATAAAACATCTTGTTCATTAAAGCACTCTCTGTAGTCCAGACAAGTTCAAAAGTCACTGTCTTTTGGAAATACTGTATGTGTTCATGACTCAAAATGTATTAGGGGTGCTTAAAACAGGCTGTGAGAGAACTTTGGGTGAGTAGATCAGTGTAGTACTATTGACATTAGGGAAGTATATAGCGGTACGTTGTGAGTTAGGGTAGCTTCCCATTCCATCCTTCCTTACCCACAGGCAGATTACACCCAGAGGCAAGGTAAGCCACTATCATTAGATAATTTTACTGTATTGTTTCAAGCACTCTCTTTTATTAATTGTTTTTATTTTTTTATAAGAACTACCTCTATGGGCAGAAATAGATACATCATGACTTTTTTTATCTACCTGAAGATAGCATGCCACTGCTTAAGAGGACTTACTTTTTCACAGTAAAGCTTTTGGACGTTAATTATTGAATTGTAAAACATAATCATATGCAAGTGTTTTTGTCAAAGACAGGCCAGTGTAGTGCTGAGTAAGAAGCAGAAAGTATTACATTCAGTGTGTGAAACTAATTATGGTTCTGTAAAGCATTGTCTATAGGCAATTGTATCATCATGACAAAACTGTAACAGCCTGACTCTCCATCACACCAGCTTCTTGCCAGGACATTGCTCCTGGACTTGGAAGGCCTTCTACCTCACTGAAGTGATGAAAGCATGAGCAGTATATGCCACTGCAGGAAACATTATTCCTGAAGTTTTGCTAGGAATATCTTTAAGCCATTTCCTATGGTGTTCTTACTTGAGCAAGGATTACATGACAAGTGTTTCCATTTTCCCTTTAGGAGGACAATCACCATTGTATAGGGGAACCTTATTTAAATAAAGTTCATAAACATGAAGCAAATGAATCCATTTTATCTCTGTTAGATGTGGTGTGCTGTATTTAGTTAAGAAATCAAAGGCAAAAGTGCTGTGTTGGAAAGTAACTGTGTAATAGACTCATGAGTGGAATGTGTAAGTGATGAGTTGGGCATGTTGTCCTTTTGGAAGAGAATAAGTAAGCATGCATCAGAGGCTATTCAGCTTTACTTTTTATTTTCTGTGGTCTTAGTTTTGCCTCATTGACTTGTCAAGGATATAGTTGTAGTCTTTTATTCTTTATATTACAAGATTAGTGATTATTTCCCCCATTTCTTAGAATTAAATAATGTTAAAGCTGGATAAAATTTCACCACAACTGGAAATGAAATGTCATATTTAAAATTTCCTTTTAAAATCATATTGTACTATAAATGAAGGATAAAGAGTAACAATTCAATAGTCTTTATTCTGTGTATTTTCTGTCATTGTTAGAATAGATACTGAGAAGAGGTTTTGTACTTTCATGATAAATACGCATGTTCATATGATCCCATAATAGATGCACTGGCAGTCTTTCTCTGTACAGTCTGAAGCGCATTGGAAATGACACTGCACAAAGCAGGGAGGATTTGTGGTGATATTTCTGTCATTGCAGTTTCATCTGTTTCTTGCTTTAGCTGAATGTTTCTATTATTGAAGCCTTTTAAACATTACTTTGAAGTTAAGGCAGCCATTTGTATTGTTATGCCTCAAACAGTGTTTTGTTTCTGAAGTTTTGAGACCAGAGACATTATCTAAAATTATACCAAATCTGTATTCATGCCTAGAAGCAGAAGGTTGAATCCTTCTGTGCCCTTTGAAATCCAGATTATACTATTTATTAAAAATCCAGTTTGGCTTTTCCGCTAAGCAAACTTCATGTGCTTTGAAAGGCTTCTGTAGACTTAGTAGGCTCTACTTCAGATCTGTAATTAAATGCTGTGAACTTATTTACAAATCCAGTTTTTTTCCTATTCTCTTTTCAAGTCCCATAGAGCTGCTTATTTTTGCAGGCAGTTCTGCAGCTCTAGCGCTTTCCTATTTCCATTTTCAGGGTTTAATGGTTATCAGGGCTGTAGAAATGCTTAGTAGGGATGGTGTGGGTATTGTCTTTTTGTTCTGTGATGATGCACCTATAATTAGATTTACAAAATGTGTTTGTAGCAGTGATATAGTGCTTGTATGTCTCTCTAACTTCTACACTTTCTTGCTAAACTGTATGTTTTAATGCCATGTTCCCTGCTTGCTTTCCGAGGCCAAACTTTTTAATTATTTTGTGAAATCACAATATTAATTGATTTCCCTTAGTTATATTATTATAATTTAAAACATACAAAACCATGAGTATTTTATCTTTTATCTCTGAATGTTACTATGTTTTGCTAAAACTAATTTTTAATACAGGATGGGACTTCAGATATTAAAACATTTGACTCATTTAGAGCATTCTTGTTACATTGAATAGTTTTCTAAGAAAAATATGGTTCATTTTAGGCCCTGACTCCTTTGTGAGAGGTTTTAAGGTTTCAGAAGGAGCTGTAAAAATTGTCCAGG